GGGCTTGATTCTATAGTCTTCTAACTCAGAGGTGAGAGTGCAACCAATTGAGCCAGGGTGATATTTTAACTTTGTTTAAACAGTTTAACCCAAAGCCAAGTGTTGAGGTGCCATTTTCTACCACCATATATTTCCCAACATTTCGGTGCCATTGAGGGAAGGCTGTCTTAGTTCAACTTCAAACATTGCACTAAAATGGTCAATGTCAAACATTACGCTAAAATGTTAATGAGGAGCACTCTTCTCGCAAAGCGAGAGGACCTGGGTTTGAATCCCGGGCAGGGCAAGATGTTGGGCAAGTTTCCTCCACACCTCTCTGTTTACTTAGCAGTAAGTAAGAACCTGGTTGTTAATCGATTGCTGGATCGCTTGTCTGGGGATAATAATCCCTAAAAAAAAATTTGGCCATGACTGTTGTGGGACATTGCTGTATGCAATTGGCATTTTGCCCACAAAATGCACAGTCAATTCACTTTACAGTAAGTATACTCTGTGAAGCATTTGAGACATCTAGAAGACGTGATAAGGCACCATATCAAATGCAAGAATTATTATTATTATTCCTATCAAGCATTTCAATTATCATTATTATTTCCTAAAATTACATCTGGCGTATAGCATATATAAAATTACAAATGCGTGTGCAGCAGTTATTAACTGAGACATCTCCAGAGCAGAATGTCACACAATATCATAATTATCACACTATATATCTCATTTTTCACTCCTTGAACTGATGGCTAATTTTCTCCCCAGCTACATTTTGTCATTTTCCAAGATGGCTACTCTATTTCCTACATTTTTCTTTCGCCTGATCTAGCCCTCATTCATCCTCCCAGTAGCAAAACCTTTTCTCAGAAAATGTAACAGATTGATTAGCATCTGCAAAAGAGAAGGCAGCATATAATGATCTATGAATGGAACCAGGTTTAATTAGGCATCTCTTTGGTTCAATGGTATTTACTTTTGTTCTTAATTCCAGCTTTATTTTAATGACTTACATAAAGGATGCTATATAAATGCAAGTTGCTCTTGTTGCTGTTGCTTTGTAATTACAGTCTGAATCACGATTACAGCACAGAAACAGCTTTGGTCAGAGAGACAAATGACATTTTGTCCATCTGTGATAAGGGCTCCCTCTGCCCCCTCATCCTCCTTGACCTCTCTGCTGCCTCTGATACCATTGACCACTCTATCCTCCTCCACCGCCTCTCCTCTCACCTCAGTCTTCATGATTCTGTCCTTGAATGATTCCAATCCTACCTCTTACACCGTCTCCACTATATTTCCACAAATGGTTTCTCATTTAGCTCCCGCACCATCTCATGCAGCGTTCCTCAGGGCTCTGTCCTTGGTACCCTCCTCTTCAATATCTATATGCTCCCTCTTGGTGACATTATCCTCAGACATGGGGTCAACTTCCACATGTATGCGGATGACACCCAACTCTATGCCTCCACCCTTGACTCCACTGCTGTACTGACAGAATGTCAGTCAGACATTAAGTCCTGGATGAGAGCTAAATTTCTTCAGTTGAACAGCACTAAAACTGAGGCCCTCCTGATTGGCTCCCATCAGTGCCTCCACACCTCAGACACTGACAGCATCACCATCCATGGTTGCACATTCCACCTCACTGAGCCAGTCCAGAACCTTGGCATCTTGTTCGACCCTCAACTATTCTCTCTACTCCACATCCATGCCATGACCCGCTCTGCCTTCATAACAGGCTGCCGAAACCCTCATGCAAGCATTCATAATATCCAGGCTTAACTATGCAAACTCCCTGCTTGTCAGCCTCCCCAGCTCCTCCCTCCATAGGCTACAGATCATCCAGAAGTCTGCAGCCCATGTCCTCTCCAGCACCAGGCTCCACGACCCTATCACCCCGATCCTCGCCTAACTCCACTGGCTTCCCATCACACAGAGGATACAGTTCAAGATCCTGGTTCTCACATTCAAAGCCCTCCACGGCCTTGCTCTCCCCTACCTCTGTGCCATCCTAACTCCCTACCAACCTACCTGCTCCTTCCACTCAGTGGGCTCCGGCCTGCTTCACATCCCCCGCCTCGCCTGCTCCATCATTGGTAGGCAGGCCTTCAGCCACTCTGCCCCCACCCTCTGGAACTCCATCCCATAGACCCTCTGCCTCTCCCCTTCCCTTGTCTCCTTCAAGACCCGTCTCAAGACCCTCCTCTTCGACCATGCCTTCTCTCACCCTCCTTCCCCCCCTGCTCTCCACCTTCCCCGATTGTGATCCCCAGATCGGGTCCGAAACATTGATTGTCCAGTGACTTGGGACGCCCTCCCATGAAAGGCACTATACAAATGTAATTTTGTTGTTTTTGTTGTACACTAACAGACAACAGGCCTGATAGTATTTATTCAGTTGCTGTCTCCAACCAACATAGGATGTCACAAATACCCTTTCAATGTCAGCAAATCATTACTCGAACTTTTATTTATTTTTAAAATACATACTTAAATATATGGTCCAACCAAATTAGCACTGGATATTACACATTGCGGCAAATAAACCATTTACCCTTGAAGTAATCACTACTATTTCTGCCCTAACTAAAAGCAATGCTTTTATTTATACGTATTAGTTTTGAGATGTCACTTTGTTCTAGCCTTTTGCTGTGTGTTTTTTTTCAAAAGACCTGTGTGCTTCATAAGTAAAGAAAGGTTTGCAGTATCATTACAGCAGATTTACAGAGAAATAATGTACAGTTAGTTACAGTGAAAATATGTGTCCATATGTCATGTTGTAAATGGTGCTGAGTGTTACTTTGATTGAAGCGGAAAATGAACTGTGATACTGAACTTGAAAAAGTATTCCTTGGGAAAGTATTAGCGTAGGAAAAGGAAGTAAAAGAAAGAGAAAATAAAGTTTAGAAAGAAAGAAATGTGCTAACTGGCATGTAAATTCAATCACAGAGCAAGTGCCTCCAAAGCCAAATTGTTGAAATTTGAGTCAGCTGATATTTAAAACTCACCTGCCTTGTTCAGAACATCATCTTAAGTTACATCTTTAACTCACTTACCCTAGTTCAGCATATCTTACCAGTTCTTAGCTAGGCCACTAGATGGAGCAATGTGCAACAGAGGAGCAATCCATGTTGCAGGGGAAAGGGGAGAACTGAAGAACGTATCCTACCCCATAGAAATAAAACTCATATCAATGGCATCAATGACAATGACAGCAACAAATTACGTTTGTAAAGACCTTTCTTTTTTGCCTTTCACATCGGGAGGACGTCCCAAGCCAGCAGAGACAGAACAGATCAAATGGCCTTCTGCTGTAACATTTCTGGACAAATCTGTAGACTATTATTGGTCATGTATGTCAAGCTTTTAAAGCCCATCTGAGCGTTACCTTTTGTATTCTCCTTAGTCTGGTTTATACTGCTCAGCATTGGACTTTACCCACTTATTAATTCTGTGTAATAATAATTTTCAATGCTTGTGTTACAGAGCGATTTACACAGCATATTTTTGCGAAAAAAATATTTTGGGGCACATAATGTTCAAACTGCAAAAGCAAAGATTTGATTGTCCTCATTGGCTAATTTAATAATGTTGCTATAAATTCTGATGTTTTATGTGTGCAATAATTGAACATTGCAACAATATTAACAATATCGGTGATTGATTATGCAGATTCCACAGTCATAAAAAGACAAGTTCCTCATTATCTCATTTAGAGTTCAGTGTTCCCTCGAGGGAACTAGATAAGTACCTTAAAAAGTCAGCTAAAGGGGTAGAGGGAAAAAGCAGGTAAATGAAAGGATTACTCTTGAGGGAGTCTGCACAGACACAATAGATTAAATGGCCTTCTGCTGTGCCATAGATTCATCTGGTTTCTACGGTTCTAATAAATATTATAGGAGTAGGAAATTTGGCCAATAGAGCATGTTCCATCATTTTATCAGATCACAACACACATATTTATTCCTTTGCCCCACCTTTTTTTTCCATATCCCTTCATGTATTTACTTACCAAGTATCAATTGTTCTCTCCTTTCAAGCCATCTCAATCTATTCACCCACAGATATACAGTCAATTCACTTTAGATATATCCTGTGAAGCGCTTTGAGACGTGTAGAAGACATGAAAAGCGCTATATCAAATGTGAGGATTATTATTATTTAATTTTATTCTACATCTATGGGCTCTGGGATAGCACATCTCACCTTCTCATAACCTTTTGTATGAAGAAATGTTTTCTGATTTCACTTTTCTTTCAATATTGCTGGATTTTTGTTGCGTTGAAGGTCAGAAAATACCAAATGTTATTGATTTGGCTGAAATTGATTGTACATTGCGTAATGATTCTGTGCATGTATGGCGATATTGGTAGCGTCTGGAGAACCCTGCTGTGGTGGTTGAGCCTGAGAACTATTTATGGTTTTTCATCTGCTCAGTATGGCGTGTCTGAATGGCAGCTAGATGGGACTCCCTCATGCTTGTTCTGGTTGAGGTAAAAGAAACACGTTACCATTTGTACGTGGGGTGTGGATCAGTTATTGATACCAATAGCGACAACCCTCCCCTTACTTGGAAGAAATATTACAATACTTTGCTTGATTATGAATTCCAGCTAATAACTATATGTTACCAAATTAACCTATGGCTTAATTTCTGACATGAACATTCCTTCTGCATCTTCTGCCATACATGAAGGCTATTACGGCTCCTATAAAGACTATAAATATGCAGCTCAGAGAAATTACGAGCTGGTGCAACCTAGTCTGTGAAGTGCTTAAATTCTTGACAGACTTTTCACAGACCTCCATTGACTCAGAGGGCCTTAGCGGAAACTTTAGCCCTTTATTGCGCATATCATCTTCTTGACTAAAACAAGAAGACTCACTGCAGAAAGGTAGACAATGTGAGAGTAAGTGAAATGTAAAAGCTTAGAGAGAGAAAATCAGAGATAAGAGACAAATGAAATGAAGTAATATATTGTTTTATAGATTAAAAAAAAACTACCTACCAAAAACTGTTCGAGCTGGAACAGATTCCTTATTAATCCAAAATGACACTTGAGAGAGAATAACTGTCATAATACAGGGTATGTAAGTCTGGATCATAAAATAACCCATTTTTCTCTTCAAATGAAAATGGACTGTCATCACCACATATTCTCCTGTAAAATATACAAATGTAGAGCAATTGTATGAATCCCAATGAATTAATTCTTGAATTAAATGATTCAGTTGAAAGTATCTTGCTATTCATATTTAGCACAGCGCATGAGATTTACATCAAAATATTCTTCAGATGATTTTACCTGTAATGGATTTAACTGTACCACTCGATACAGTTTGCCCAACAAGGTCATACTGTACCAAACTGGATGACTCTTTGGGCACCTCAACTGATTTTTCAGGTCCTTTGGTCCATGTGTATATCATCTCACTTTTAGGATATGCATCTACAACAGGTGGAATAATTGTTTGCATAATTATAACAGTAAAATAATGAATCATTTCAATATTACACGTTCCCCCCACCCTCATTTTTGAAATAAAATCAAAATATTCTAAAATCATCCAACCACTGTATTGTATTTGGTCAACTTGGACTACTGTATTCCACCTTTAACTTTCTAAATACATATATTCAAGTTATCTATCAATTATATTATCTATTAATCAAATTTTCAAGTCATCTAATAATTCTTTATGACAATTAAGCCCCCTCATCATTTTAATGATAATACCCTGTGCCAATAAACAGAANTTTTTAAAAAAGTTTCATTTTTGCAAGAGTAAAACAGTGAAAAATCAAATATGCTATACCTATACTAGAAATAAACCTGTTTAACTCACAGCTTCCAAATTTAAGCGGGCAAGCATGGCCGTCCATTGGGAAATCAACCAGTCTCATAGGACACTCTGCATTTATGGTAAGTCTAAAACAAACACATAGACCATGTGAAAATTCCAATTATTCTAAAACTGAAATGAGTGTTTCATATTATTTTAAGCATTTTTTCTCGTAACATAGGGTCTGTAATTTCTCTGGTTGTTCATGCCAGCCAAATATAGACATGTGTAAACATTGGTGAAATAGTTGCCAATCACCCAAATTAATTGTTTAGCGTTATTCTCAAAATTTCTATTCCTTGAATGCTGCCAAAGAAATTAATTGTAATTTAAAACTAAAGGTGGCAAAGTTCATAAAGTTAAGGAACAATTTATGCGAACTTCCACAGCAGAGAAGGACCTTCAAAGAGTGAATATCGAGCCCCTAGATCAGAACTGTGTTCATGAGCTCAACAAATTGAAAGTAGGAGGCAAGTATTGGGAAGAGTGAAGTGTATAACATTTTTCCAGTGGAGAATTTGGACCTAACAGTTAATACTGTGACTATCAAAGTGGAAGAAAACGAGAGGAAGGTCCAGGAATTCAGAGAGCATTGGATGTTCACAAATTGTAATAAGTGTCACCTCAGGCAATGGATCTGCTGCAGCAGAGTGAACCATCTGGCTATGATAGAGAAGCAGAGTATGAAGAGACATAGGCTCAGAAATGAAGCTGTGATTCAGCTGTGGCCCCTCATTCATAAAGATAGGCAAGGACTGTCCTCCAGAAGTACCGCATTACCAGTAAAGGTCACCAGTGCCCTCAACTTCTGTGCCACTGGGACCTCTTCAACACCCACAACAGGCATTTATGGAGTCGTGCTGTGTTGAGGAGGCAACACTGTTAGCACAAGGTATCCCAAAACATTCACTTCAGCAGGAATTAGAAGCAGCAGCTGCAGATTCAGGAACAGTTTATAACAAACTGCTGGCTTCCCACAGCTACAGGGCATGAACGACTGTACTCATGTAGCCAATTATGTTCCACTACAAACTCAATGGTATATCTGAATCAGAAGCAATACCATTTCATCACCATCCAGAACACCTGCAATCATCACAGGAAAACCATACGAATCAACCCACAATTCCCAGGAGAAATTTACAATTTGTTTATTCTCAGGGCATCACACATAGCACATCTTTTAGAAGCAGATGGAGTAATGCAAGCCTGGTTCCTGGGAGATAATGGGCAGCACATTGTTTCTATTGTTTAGATCACTCCTGTACAATTCCCATATTTCAGCAGACAACCATTCAGGCACATTGAGCAAACCATTGAGAAGATGTAAGAGGTACTCAAACAACACTTCAAGTAAAAGGATCACTCAGAAGGCTTTACAGTAGGTTAAAAAGAAGATGGTACCATGCTGCATACTTCACAATGTAACCAATGAGCAGAGAGGTCTTACCCTTAACTTAAAAATAAGCAGGCAGCAAAGAATGGTATAACATAGGACCTGGCCGACAGCAGCAGATCAGGCAGGAGAAGTGTCAAGGAGGGTTTATTCCCCAGTTTCTCCACTGAGCTTCTAATTGGATATTATTATTTCATATGTCATGGAACAACTTTGACATATTTACTTGCCTTTTGTTGCTTTCCATGTAGTTAAATGTAATTATATTTTGTTTTCCTTTTATAGAATCACAAATATTACAGCTCATCACCCCTGCACTGATGCTTGTCCTTTTACTGGAGTCTATTCTTTTTCCTCCCCATAAACTTTTATATTGATCCTCTTCAAATGCTAAGCCAATTCTCTTTTAAATGTCATTGGGGTCTCAGCCTTCATAGCAACACGTGGCAAATAACTTCATGGTTTAATAAACCTCTGCATGAAAAACATCTCTTAACCTCCTCGTACTGCTTCCACTGGCAAATTCTTGATATTATACACCCTCCCTACCTATCTTTAAACCAGCAGTAAAATGCTTTCACTATTTATCCTCTCAAAACATTTGAGAATGTTGAAAACCTCCATTAAGCCCTCTGATGATCTGTGTTCCATTCAAAATTGCACTGATTTGCAACAATTATAAGCAAATCTAAGAGTTTTAATGCCCAAATCTCTTTGTACCACAGGTGAGAATATTCAAGAATAACATCACAATAATTCACATTTATATAGCACTTTTCACATTACACACCTAATTGAGCACCTGAACTTGAGGGGAAGGGGAACTGAGGTGAGGGGGCAGGAAATTTATTCAAATGTATAGGTCTTAAGGTGGGCTTCAAAGGTGGGGAGGGAGGGGTGAGGCAAAGGGTCTCTGGAATGGAATTCTAAAGAGCAGAGTCAGAAAGCTCACCCACTGATGGTGGTTAAGATTAGGTAACATTATTATAACTGGAGTCTCCAAAGCAAGTACCAGAGACGGTGCCTTGTCCTCAATGGCAAACTGTAGTGCAGAAAATCACAGCCACATTAGGGAGTCTAGCCTCATACATCTGTGGTTTGCCTCTCCACGCTAGCCAGACTATCCTTCAATGTCATGTTAATGATGGCAAATAACTTCTTCACACAGCCTTTTGTCCACAAACCTCCATAAAAGCATAGAAATGTCACCTCAGAAGAAGCCATTTTGATCAATGGAACCAACTATTCTTAATTCTATATCCCTCCCCTTTCCCCTTATACTTTTCTATCTATTTTTTCCTCATTCTCTTTGATTTGTCTTAAATAAACACAAGTGGTAATGTGCTCTACATTCTAATAACAGTTTTTATTATTTTAACATCTCCATTTAAGCCTCGGGTCAGAATTTAGCATTTATACTCCTTGTGCTGATTCACCAAGGAATGGGAATAATATTTCACTATAACAGGAAATCTCGTTTGTTGAGGCACTTTAGCAATCACACATTTCAAGTTTAGAACATGCTAAATCCATTGTTTTTCCTTTATATGCTCAGTCATTTATAAAATATCTTTGCATTTGATATGGCACCTTATCACCTTGTTGAGATTTCTCAAACACTTTGTAGAATATACTCTGAAGTGTAATGGCTGTATTGTAAGCAAATACTCAAAACAATTCCTCGACTCACTTCTTCAGAAGAACTGACCCGATTAATCTAGGACCACTTTTCCTTTGGAAGTACATGACTATTCCTGCGCAACCCAATCATTCTAGGTATTCACAAATGAAAACGAACGCCCTAATGTCTTCATTGCCATTCGCCTCAGCTGTGACAAGCAAACCTGCTGCTGGGTCTCCACACTGTACCAGCACGGCCCTTTACAGCCTACCTTTGCTAACCATAACTAAGCAATGCTTGGGGCTCCGCCCTGCACATCCACAACAACTACATTTTGTACAGTGGATGGATCTGAAAAAGTGTTTTCCTCAGGTAAATGGGGCGCTGATCGTTGTGGGATGCTTCTGTGGTGGGCGCTCGCTCCACTGTGTTCCCTATCTTCTGTGAAAAGAACAAACAATATACAGTTGGTGCATATATACATATGTATTCATCTGTCTGCTGTCTTGGACTCCTACACTGCCCTTAGTGTCATTGTTATATATATATATAGTAATGCACTTGTGCCCAATCAGTGTGTATGGATATATTTATGCATCATATTGATTATCTTATACAATATATGAATAATATGGTATCCATTATTGCTTCTTTCTTCTTTACCAATAGCAACAGTCTCAACTACTTCCAAAATCTCATTCCTGAATAAATCAACTATTGTTTCTTAATATCATATCCATTGTTTGAGTTCTGCACCTGTTGCCTTTCGCAATCTTTTGCTGCGATTGTCTCCTTTGAGGATAAAGAGCGATTGAGACACAATAATTTGATTCATTGAACATCCTTACGACAGCCCATTCACCATCCCATCATCGTGGCATAACTTGTAACTTACCAACCTATCTCATTTTCATGTTTATTGTGTTACTTATTATGTTAATGCTGAGCCACTACTGAGCATCAACATTAATACTTTACCTTGGTGTTTTTCTTTAAGTCATTCACTTTCTTCCAGTCCTGCTACCAGGACAACACATATTGTTTTGCTATCCTCCTTGTTTGAACAATATTGTCACTTCATGGTGTTGTCCATAAAGATTTTCATTCTCTTGTTGGAAGATTTTTTTTCCATTGTTAATGTTGTGTCAATTTCCACCTGAAATATTGCACTGCAGTGCTGTATTAAAGGACGTTACTCATTGATCAACCCAACTTAGGTCCTGGGGTACTTTAGCATGGTAAATATTCGTCACTGAAAGTGCCCTTTCATCAGTTGCAAATGGAATTATAATTCTCATTCAGTGCTACTCAGCACTGAAGATTTTCAGGTACATTTCAATGATCAATCCCAATTGTACTACTTGACAATTTTTGTTGGACAAAATTTTTTTGTTGAACAAACAGAGGAATTTTGGACCATTGACGTTTCATAATGTAAAGTGAAAAGCAAACCTCATGGTGTACAGAATGGTCCCATTCTGCATAATTCTGAATAGCTTGTTAGGCGCTGTCATATTGTGGGAAATTGATTTTTTCCCATTCCTAAAGAAGGTATCAGGCGTCCAGACTTTAGTGACCATCAGATTATTGAGACGAAGAATTTCTATAGGGCCATCATACTTTAGCCTTTTGTCCACCCAGGTTTGGCGAAAAAACACATCCATTGTGTACTCCTGGAATTGGGAAGATAATTAATCTGTGTTATAAACTACTGGCAAATATAAACCACTGTCTCTGAAAGATGAAGGATATTTAAAATATGGGTTTAGTAATATGATGTGAGCTTCCTATACAAATTGCAATTATGTCACTATGATGTCTGTGTTCATTCTCAGTGCAAAACATTATTTCATATTGGGTCTATTCTGAAGAGGAACTCTAATCATAATGCAACAGTACAAAGAACTAATTTACTGAAATCTAAACTAACTTCAACAGGCGATTAAGCTTGTGTGTGTCCTTTAGCTTCCATTCAACTAAAACGAGTGCCATTACATCCATATAATCTAAACAATAATTATTTCATTTGATATAGCACCGTATCACATCTCCGAGACGTCTCAAAGTGCTTTGCAGAATATATTGTAAAGTGAAGTGAATGTACATCTTGTGGGTGAAACGCGGCAGCCAATTGCACACAGCAGTGTCCCACAAACAGTCGTGGATTGAGGTGACCAATTTATTATTGTTTCTTTTTTTGAAGGAATTATTACCCCCGGAAAAGCGATCCACCAATCGACTAACAACCGGGTTCCTACTTACTGCTAGGTAAACAGGGGCATATGGAGTAAGGAAACTTGTCTAACATTTTATCCTGCTGGGAATCAAACCCAGGGCTCTCGCTTGTGAGGCGAGTGCTCTGACCACTGAGCAACAAACAAGCTCCAATGTGATTTTTTAAAAAATATGATTCGATGTTAATACAAAAGTTTCAGTGTGGTTATGTGTGGGCAAGGATTGTTGGGAAACATAATAAATGGGTTCCTGTTACAGTGCAGGGTTGGGGCGCCACACAGTTTGTAGCATTGCAATTAATATTTAAACTGTCGAGAAATAATAAGACAGGAATCAAATGAATTGGGAAAATCACTCTGGCAATATTTAAGTAGTGCAAGCAGCAATCTTACCATCTCGACATCAGACACTGGTCCAAAGCTCGTCACGTATATATCTGTTTTGACTTCTGTAACTGCACCTGTGGAACAGATTTGAACAGTTTTTTGAAATAAGATCTCAAAACACAACGAAATATATATCCATTAGTGGATGAATAACGATACCTCCACGTAATATAAACCCCATTCTATGACACAGTTTACGTCTTGCATTTGTCTTTCCTGTGTTTTATTCTGCAATTTCTTTCAACTGTGCTGCTGAGTTCTAGCAATAGCAATCACTAAGTTGCTCTCGGATGCCAGCCACTCTACGGTGAACATTTGTTATCACTTTATTTAAGAACTCTGCTCGCCTTTCACTTCAATAAACTCCTGTCTGTGAGATCTGGCATGTTTAGTCAAATAGTGGAAAGCAGAACGAGTTTAGACGAGAGGCTCACTTACCCCTTTAAAACATTGCAATCACACAGTGCATCAAAGCAGACGCGGTTTTTGCAGTTTATTCTTAGATTCACCGTCGTATTCAAACGATCAACAAATGCACTTAAGAGAGACAATTACGCAGTAGATTGGTTCCAGTGCCTATTAAAACTGCCCTCGGATTTGATCCAAATCTGAGCACAAGAAGCAGGTAGCGTGGCCCCAGCCCGGGGAGCAGTCCTGCTGCTGTGCGAGTGGATCATACAGAAAGAAACAGACCAGCCAGTGCCTGGCAAACACCCCACACAGACCAGCCAGTACCTGGCAAACACCCCACACAGACCAGCCAGTGCCTGGCAAACACCCCACACAGACCAGCCAGTGCCTGGCAAACACCCCACACAGACAAGCCAGTGCCTGGCAAACACCCCACACAGACCAGCCAGTACCTGGCAAACACCCCACACAGACCTGCCAGTGCCTGGCAAACACCCCACACAGACCAGCCAGTGCCTGGCAAACACCCCACACAGACAAGCCAGTGCCTGGCAAACACCCCACACAGACCAGCCAGTACCTGGCAAACACCCCACACAGACCAGCCAGTGCCTGGCAAACACCCCACACAGACCTGCCAGTACCTGGCAAACACCCCACACAGACCAGCCAGTGCCTGGCAAACACCCCACACAGACCAGCCAGTACCTGGCAAACACCCCACACAGACCAGCCAGTGCCTGGCAAACACCCCACACAGACCAGCCAGTGCCTGGCAAACACCCCACACAGACCTGCCAGTGCAGTGCAGGCAATGTGCATTTCTAAACTGAGACGGTGGTGTGCAGTAAATGGATGTACATACCCCCGAATCCAGGTCGCAAGCGGTTATCATAGCCATCTAAGAGTCTATCCAGTATCCGGGTAAAATTTTCTGGATATAATTTCTCCTCCTTCTTGATCTTCCCGGAGGTCTCACCTACGCTGCTGAGTGAATATATAACATCGACGTGATATTGCAATGAGAGCGATCAAAAGGTGGTCGGTTGCCCCACACCTGATAGTGATCCTTTTGGAACCGAGAAACGCCGGACAGACAGTGCAGAGCCGGGAATCTGACAGGTACACACACGGGGAGATGGGCAGCGGGGGGTGGGGGGGTTGGGGGGGGTGGGGGAGACTTTGCTTTACTCACCACATTGCCACGTAGAGAAGAAAGTAAACCAGAGTGGAGAGGTAACCGGCGGAAAGCATGTTCACAGTCTCCTTGGCAGGAACCATCTTTGCATGCCATACTGTAACCCTCTTCCCGTCCCTCGTCGCCAATTGCCTTGTCCTGAAGAAAGATCACAGCCGTCTGTGTGTGTGTGTGTCTGTGTGTGTGTGTCTGTGTGTCTGTGTCTGTGTGTCTGTGTCTGTGTGTCTGTGTGTGTGTCTGTGTGTGTCTGTCTGTGTGTGTGTCTGTCTGTGTGTGTGTCTGTCTGTGTCTGTGTCTGTCTGTCTGTGTGTGTCTGTCTGTGTGTGTCTGTCTGTGTGTCTGTGTCTGTCTGTGTGTGTCTGTGTGTCTGTGTGTGTACAAAAACCTTTTGCATCTACACTGCGTCCCTTTTTCCTCCTGCCAGCTTTACAGGAATACATTTCCTTCCACATTAGCCCGACCCACTTCCCAAATATTTTCCTTTGGCCAACAGCCCTTGTGGCATCCACAGTGATGGACTCCCGGCATCGTGTCCGAATTCAAATCCTATTTTTTTTTACACTGGCTTCTGTTCTTGGTCTCTTTTTTTTTATATATCACCTGTGCTGCTTGACAGGAGGGGGGGAAAGCTACACAATCCACAGACAATTGTCAACAAGCATGTCAACCCAGAAATGCACCACGAATAAATAAATCTATGCTGGTGTGTGTCCTCCACTGACTTACAATGGATGTTTTAAATCTCTGAACTGTGATTCCTATTGTGTTTTGGTCTCGATTTCCCAGAGTGAGTCCTATTGTCGACACTGAACTGTCCACCAGTGATTATTGTGTCGGTGTCTGGGCTCGAGTCTTGGGTAAACCTATTGCATTCATGGCAGTCAAAAGGTGGTGCTCTTGGACTCCAGGAGATTAACAGATTTCACTTCGCTCTCATAGTTATGATACGGATGGATATCTGTGCAAACAGACGAAAGAAAACGAAATTGTTTCTCCTCGAACTGTTTATTTGACCTGTGAGCCACGTAGACCGACAGACCAGTTAGAACACATTTGTGCAGAATCCCACCCATTTAAGACTCACGATAACATCTGCAACGGTGAAAGGGCACTACCAGCAGTCTGGTACCCAGCTCCTCCTTATGAACCCTGCTATTTGCAAACTGATCTGTTGACGAGCGCATTCTGCAATAAAAACACTGACGCAATCACATGTTTTGGTTTTGCATTTTCTCAATTTCGAGGTCGTGCAAAAGTAATGGAAATATCTGTAAATATTGGTTCTGGGTTCATTTGTTTAATCATTGAGACGGAAGGCGCTTGCAATCTCATCCTCTCCACTGAAACTCTGCCCCTAATAGTAAAATCATAATTTGCGTTAAGTACAAAAAAAGAGATCCTCCGACAGAAATTCACCACGAATGCACACAGCTCTTCATTATTGGCATTTTGAACAAGTCTCACATTGGGGTGAAAACCGTGCCAATTCGTGCAAAAAAAAAAAGAAAGAATAACGACATGGAAACAAAACAGCTTGAACAGTTTTCGGAATTGTTTCGACACTTTTTTTATATATATATATTCCCCTGTCACCATATGAAACGCCAGTTGTTTGTGCGTTTCTGCTTTTTTTTTAGTACAGAACAGGGGATGGCGGGTTCTGTACTTTTGCATTCTCTGCAATAGAGGCACAGAGACATGTGATATTTCCTCCCCCCCACCACCACCCCCCACCACCCCCCCCCCCCCCAACAATGGTTTGCAGTTGCCGAATAAATATACATCATTACTATTCCTCACACAGGCGTGCGGGTGATAGGGGGGTTCAGCAGCGACTGATCACATCTGCCTGAAGCACTGTGTTTGAATGCTCCTGCACCTCCTGATCACCCTGTATCATTTTTTTCTTTTGCAGCCTCTCCAAAAAGGGGATCACCTACGATTCCGATCTCAGACGCACACAGTGCCCCCCTTTTTTTTTTCTTTTTTTTTGCTTTTTTTTTTTGCTTTTTTTTTTTTGCTTTCCCCGCAGAACAGCTTCCAGCAAGCAAAGAGATTGGAAACCTGCGATCAGGTTTTGGGGAGCCGAGGGAGAAAAATACCTTTAAGGATCTGGTGGTTCTGACTGTTTTGCAAGGGAAATTGCATCCAAGGCGAACTCTCCATCTGCTGTTTTGCGCGCATGCGTTTGCGCCTCTGAATTATTGCACCGCTCCGGACTAAGTTGCATTCCTCGAAACCTTCCCCTCTCTCGAAGGCATTACTGCAATCAAAGTTAGGAATGTGGAAAATTCAACACCGAGGATGCTTCGGGATCCTGTCCATCCCCGTGATGGTGGCCATGGTTTCCTACGCACAGAGGTGAGCTCCGATCCCTTCGCCGTTCCTTTTTTTGCGGTTGTTTTGTTTGTTTTTGGGGGGGTTTTTTTTTTTTTGTTGTTGTTGTTTTTGTTTTCTCTGCTTTCGATCTCTCTCCGGTGCGATCCTGAATGTAATCCACATTTCTTCCCCCCCCCCTTCCTTTCCCTTTCCCCCCCCCCCACACCCCCCACCACCCCCCACCCCCCACCCCCCTCCTCTCCTCCTCCAGCGTCAACGAGTCCAGCAACATGTCATATGTGAAAGAAACGGTGGATAGTTTGCTGAAGGGGTATGACATTCGACTGAGACCGGATTTTGGAGGTAATCCCATCTCCTCTCGTTACTGTTACACATATCTGCATTCAATGCGTTCTGTTCGCCAGACACCACACGTCCGTCTCTCTCACCGAATAAATACTATTCACAGACTGCACGACACAGAGAGTTTAACTGCAGAGCAGTGACTTGTCAGATGCTGATCATTTGCAACCGTGTATTTTGTGTTTTGCCGCTGAATTGAAATATCACATGTGGGTCATATTGTTTATTTCAAGGTCTCCCTGTGGATGTTGGCATGAGGATAGACATTGCCAGCATAGACATGGTCTCCGAAGTAAATATGGTGAGTGCATCATTTAAACTCCCCTGATGTGCAAATTGAAGCTGGCGTGGGGGGGGGTTTTTTTCCAAAAAAAAAAAAAAAATCCTTTTTATGTGCGTAATTCTATGCTTCGTGCCTGGGAACTGGGTGATGTTCATCATGGCGAATTTACGTGCAACTATTTCCAGAGTGTTTTCCAGAGTGTGGATGCCTCAGTAGGAGATCCAAGCTCTGTTACTGCAGTTGGCAGAATAAATACCTTGGAGATGAATACTACTCGTGTTATCGAGGCGAGCTGCCCTCATCCACGGCTGCAATCTACTTGTAGATGGAATATAATGGTGACAAGGCGTTTAATTTCCTATAATGTGTAATACTGCCATCTGCTGATTGTAATAATTCACTGCCTTCACTGAGCGCTTCTGCATGTCTTGCTCATTACATGATCCATAGGGAGGGGGAGAGAGACAAGGTTTAGCACTTCAGACAGAGCATAGCCCTTTAACCTCAATTATGCATTGGCTGCAAATGGTTAAATGGATAGTTAGGATTTCATGTGATAATCCTGATGCTATCCCAGTCCCACAGCCTAGTCAGGTCTAATATATTGTTGACAACTTTCATGTGATATATTTGCAAAATGAATGTTTATTTGGCCAGTATTATATTCCCCATGCAGCTGTTTACTATCTAAACAGCACCTGTGTGAAAAAAAAGTGGTGTCCCTTTAATTGTGTGGATGATTCAAAACTCGTTTTATCAGTGGAATGGGAAACAAACGGGTTAAAATAATAGTTTCACTTTCATTTGACGGTGTGTCCATGGAAATATATTTGTAGCAAAAGTGCCTTAATAATTCATTCAGCAGCAGCTTTGCATCTATATGTGTGTTAAAGTTTTGTAAGTACTACGTCATGGCAACCTCTGCTGTTGTAACTTAATGTTAGGGCAAATATTGGACATGCACAGAACCCAAAGTATTTGGTGGGTGAATGTAATCTGCTCACAACGTCAAAAGACAAGCACTAGGCACTGTTGACAAAGTGAATGCTTGGCACTGCTGAAGTCGGTTTGCATGTTGAATATAAAATATTTCTGAGGCAAATTATTTCACTCACAAAACGTGTGTGGGTGTGAGCAATGGTTCGCCAAAAATCTATGCCCAAGTGAGTAATGTTAGATCTTATATCAAGTTACACGACAGATGTGCTTGTGTTGAGGTCAATATCAACAGTGTGATATATTTTACAAGTGACCCATCTTCAACATGTACTTTGCTTTTATTCCCATTAGTATTAGAACCACTGATAGCTATTTTGGTCTGAAACCTATGGCATACTCACAATAATCGAAACTAGACTGAGAGTTTCACATATGCGTGCTACCCACACGAGGACATTTCCCTACGTCTAGAATTCAATACACACTCTCTCTGGAGGGACGCACTCTGATTATCCAGTCATAGAGCACTTAGGAGCAGGTTGGCAAGGGCCAAGGCTTGGAGTCGCCAGAGTATGTTTTTTGGGGTACTCCCAAAGTTTAACCAGCTAAACCTGCGTAGCTTGCCATTGAGAACACTGCCCAATGCTTGTCCAGTTAGAGTCACCTGACTTTTTAGAGCAGTGGTGGCCAACATGTGGCCTATGGCCCAGATGTGGCCCAAGGGACCATCAAGAAACGCCCCCCTCGAACATTCAACCTAGTCTAGATAAGTCCGCATTCGATCAGTAGTGTGTTTTCAGTTTTCTCTTGATTTATTATTTCTTGATTTATGGCATGAATCAAGAAATATTCAATCAAGAACATCTATTTTGTTTGCCAAGCATAAAGGACGGGCACCACTGTGTTGGGGATTTGGCTTGCAGGGTTAAAAGGAAATAGTGGCAAGAGTTCTTGCCTCTGCGCCTCCCATGACTGTATGACTGGTCTGTCCTGCTAAATTGCGCCAATGAGCTAGGCTGGTTGGTCTATCAATAGTACTTGTAGTGCTGTTGACCCACCTGGCTGAGGAACCAAATTACCCTGACTATTACATAGGATTGACTCAATTCAGTTCCATTGCCAGGAAAATCATCTTGGAGCCAGCTCAGTCACAAGGAACCTATGCCTGGTTTCGGATATCCCACCTGCATCTTCACCAAGGAAGATAGTCACTAAACTGCCTAACAGGCACAATTCATAACCCACCAGCTATTAAACCCTCGAACATCATACCTCACAAGTTGTAAAAGCAGACGATATAAGATGGTTATTGTTTAATTCTCAAAAATATGCTGAGTGATACTAGGCCACATAGCTCATATGCATAGCAACAACAACAACTTGCATTTATATAGTGCCCTTCACAAGGGGTAGTGCCTCAGAGCACTTATGGGTGCAAACCTACGTTGGGATTTTGAGCTCATAGACTAGATGGAAGTTTCAGTATTGGGTGAGTGCTGCTTTATCGGAGTTGCCATCCGTTAGATTAGATATTAAATTGAGGCTCTGTCTGCCTGGTCAGGTCAACGTTAAAGACCCCATAGCATTATTTGAAAAGAGAAGGGAGTTTCCTTCAGTCTCCTGCCCAACAGTCCTGCAGGTAAAATTAATCATTTACTTATAGACTTCTTGTGGGACATTACTTTGTGCAAACTGACTTCCGCATTAGCATACAAATACACTGCCCTACACTTGTGAAGTGCTTTCAGATATTTCAATGACGTGATCAGGTGCTATGTCAAATACAATAATAATTATTATTTTTGAAAAGTGAAGGGAGTTTCTCTTGATGCACTGGCCAAAATTCTCCCAGAATTTTAAAAAAAGTGGTCATTCACTTGGAAATTTTTAGGACATTGCTGTGCACAAATTGACTGTCATATTTGCCTTCAATTACACAGTCACTAAATCCCCAAATTCCTATGAAGCACTTTGAGATGTTTTGACTTGATAAGGCACTATATCATATGCATTGATTATTATGTTATTTGAAGGAATTTGTTGCTACAACATACAGAATTTGGTGATATCGCCATTTCACAAATGAGTCTTACTTCATTTTGCAAGTTTGGTAAACAATTGCATAAAGAGACAATTATTTTTGAACTTCAATAATATAGATTGGAATCAAGTCAATCCTTTGTGTCAGTTTCAGTTGTCCAATTTCTGAGCCAGACAAGACCACGTTATTTCAAGCACTGCTGATCATGGACCAGCCAGCCTAGCTGCTGGCAGGACTTGGAGGAACAAACCAGTCAGTGAGATCTGGAATTCTTCCTGCTCAGAGCCTGTTAACCAAGAAAGCTGAAGCCTTGATTGGTAGAGCTGTCTTAGCTGGACAAGTAGCAGGAATCTTGCCAGTCAGTGTTCATATGCCAAGGTATGCAGATTTAGTTGGTTAAACTCCAGAAGGATCCCAAAGCCTTGGCTCTTGCCAACTGCTCTTAAACACACTATAATTTGGTTTAAGGAGTGCACCCATCCGGAGAGAGAGAGTGTGCAATTCATAATCAGAAAAAGAAAAAGCATACATTATGTGAAACGAAGTAGTTTGGTTTGGAGAATTTTAAGCATAGTGATAGGTTTCTGCCTGTATCAGATATCCAGCTGACCAAAACAACTGCAAAGACTTAATATTATAGGTTCAGACAAATGCTGAAAGATGAAGTCTGACAGACTATTGTGCAGACATGTTTCTATCATGTTTTTAACAAATGACTTGCTTTTCCTGAGGAGGGAAGGAATATAATAATTTTCATAATAAAGAATAAGGTTTAAAAAAATTCAAAAGCATTTCGCTGTGAGGATATCAAATGCCTCTTTTTCTTCCAAGTACTTATAACGTCCCAGGCCACACCGATTACCAGAAGGAAAATTTGGAAATCTGTTCTCTGCTGCTCATCAATGTCAATCAGACAAGACAGAATAACCTGGTGATCATGCAGTCTTTGATATTTCTTCTGCCCTTGGGGAGGTGACCAACTTCCTTTATGCAGTATGTCCCCACAAGAACACAACTGTAATTGTGAAATTGACAACACTGCACACATTGGTCCTCTCCTCTTAGTCATGGTACCAAAATGCTTCAAGTGCATCATACTGTGCCACAACAGTATAAACTGGGGGGGAATCTCAGCACAAAGATAATTTGAACTAGTTCTTAATGAGATCGCTTAACGAATCCTTATTAAGGAATCCATATTTAGGTATCCTGTTGAAAATACTGCAAATTAGACTCTACTGCTCCAAACCTACTCTCTACTCATTTGCAATGCCTGCATTTGCAGACTACTTCACAAAACCAATTGGCTTGAGGCCTTGTATTCTTTTGACATGGCCTGTGCACTCTGAAAGGATAGACTTTATTGAATCTGAGCATGAAGTATTAGAATAAACAAACACTAGAAAAGCAAAACACCGAAGAGATGTCTATTCTGAGAATTAAAATAAAGTTCAATAAGCAGGCTGAGTCTCCTTGAAACTGAGGCTCTTTCGTTGAAAGAGTGCAGAAAATGTAGATTACATTCCGCAGTTTTAATAATTTGTTGAAACATGGACAATTCTTTACTGAATCACCGAAGACGTAGTCCGCAGAATGCAAATAGGATTCTTCAGCCCCAATACATGCAGCTTCCAATTAGTTATGTCTATGGAGTTTCTTGACATCATGCAAACATTTGGGGGCTAGATTCTCACTTGTGTTCCCAAGGTGTTCCGTTTTGACTTTAAAGCTCACATTTGCATGCATCCACTGGGGAACATAATTGAGGTTCTGGTTTTGATCAGTGAACGCACATTTCCTTGCATTTATTTATAAATAATGAAGCCGGGGACATGATGCATTCCATTTCACATGTCTTCTGCATTGCTTCTTGTCCCTGTTTGTGCCAAGGTCACTGTCAGATGCTGTTCATAAACAGAGCATTTAATTGGAACTCCTTGAAGAAAAATCATTAATAGTCATTATTCTAATCTCGTTTTGAAGAAAACAAGACAAGACATAATTTGCAAAATCAGTCACATTGAAAGAGCTCAATAAT